TGTGATCTTCTACTTCAAGTCAATGAATGGTGCAGAGCTCAACTATGAGATTCATGACAAGAAAATGCTTGCAGTCATTCAAGCATTGCAGAAGTGATGAGCTGAGCTTGAGTGACTACAACAGAAAGAATGATTCAAGATTTTCACTGATCATCATGCACTGGAATACTTCATGACAATCAAGAAGCTGAATGCACATCAGATTCACTTAGCAGAATTTCTTTCTCATTTCTATTTTGAGATTAAGTATCAATCAGATAAGGTCAATCTGCTAGCAGATGTGCTGAGCAGATCTGAGCAGATTAAGAAGCAACAGAACAGCTGTATGCAGATTCTTCTAGAATCAAAAACTCTTGACTTTCAGATCACTCTCTTTATGAATATTGCTAGCATCAACTTCTCAGAGGAAGAGAACATTGCTGAATGCATAGTGTCTTTAAACAAGACAGTCATCTCAATTGAGCCCCTGCAGCAGCAAGTAGGAGAGGAGAATAGCCCCTATACAATGAAGGATAATATGTTGCTCTATTATAGAAGATTGATAGTGTCTGTTCAGAAAGAAATTCTTATAGCTGCTCTGCTAAAGAAAATTCATGATCAGACCTCAACAGCACATCCAGAGGAATGAAAGACCCTGGTCCTGGTTCACCCCCACTATTGATGAACCACCTGGTGGGTGAATGTCTTACACTATGTTCAGAACTGTCATACATGCTGAGTTAGTAAGATTTCAAGAAACAAAGCCTCTGACCTGCTAAAGCCACTATCAATATCAGAACAGACATGGCAGCATATCACAATAGACTTCATGAATGTGTCAAAGAGCAAAAGTGGCTGTGATGTCATTCTAGTTATAGTCTGCTGGTTAAGCAAGAAGGCAATTTCAATTTCTATTATCTGTGAAGTTACAGCTCATGAGCTGGCTCAATTATTCATCTGATTCTACTATTTCTATAATAAAGTATCAGACTCAATTGTCTGACTGCAGCTCTCAGTTCATATCAAACTTCTGAAATGAGTTCACAGAAATTCTAGATATAAAGTTGAAACTCTCAACAGCACATCACACACAGACAGATGAGCAGACAGAGACAACAAATCAGTATATTGTCACACACCTTCACTCATATGTTAATTACTATCAAAATGACTGAGATGAGTGATTACTCATTATAGATTATGCTTTTGCAGTCATCTTAAACATCTTCACTGAGATTTCTCTCTTTCTAGCTGCAAATGAATATGAGTTATGAACATCATTTGACTGGAGGCCTCTGTCAAGAGAACTAAGAACAGAAGAGAGGACAAATCAAAGAGCTGCTCAAAACTTTGTTAAACAGATGAAAGAGATCTGAGAGTGAGCAACAAGGGTATGAAGACAGCACAGGAACAGATGAAGAGGCAGACTGACAGACATCATCAGAAATCTGACTTCACAGTGAGAGATTTTGTCTACTTGACATTGAAATCATACAGAATTAACTGATCAAGCTGTAAGCTGACAGCACAGAACACAGATCTCTTCAGAATTCTAGAGAGAGTGAGCAATGTCTATAGACTGAATCTCCCCACAATCATGAAAATTCATTCAATTTTCTTCTCAGACAAGCTGTGCAAAGATTCAAGAGACTCTCTATCAGAGCAGACTGTCAAACCACCAGATTCAATTGAGATAGATGGAGAAAATGAATGAGAAGTGAAGCATATATTAGCCAGTCAAATAAATCAAGACAAACTGAAATATCAAGTCCACTGGAAGAGATTTGATAAGGACTTATCTTGGTACCCAGCTCATGACTTCAAAGAATTACCACACATCATACACAACTTTCATAAAGCTAACTCTACAAAAGCCAGATCCTCAAGGTGACTAAATGAGTGGCTGAAGGCATAGGAGACAGACAGCTACCTGAAGGATGAGATTGATGACAATCTACCAGCATGAGAACATGCCTGTCCCTAGACTTGTGGGTGATGTTAGACTCAGTGCCCAACTGAGCCCGACTGAGGCCCGGTGCCTGGTTAGACTCAACATCAGATTAAGCTCAGCGCCTGATTAGGTCAAATATTCTCACATGATCAAATGATCATGCAGGTGGTTATAACCCAGGCAGGCCTCAGCACCTCTTTCATCCCATCAAGCTTAGTATTTCATTATATAGCAGTTAGCAATGCAGAGAGTTTCCTTCTTATATAGCTCACATTCACTCTCTAACAACTATCAGCACTGTGTTGATTCTTGTATTTATTCAGCTGTGATTCTATAGTCTATAGTCTATGCTGCTTATAAACTTGCAGCATATATGCAAAATTCATCAGATTATTATTTAATGAAGATACATTATATATTTATCTGTCTTCAAGATATTCAGAATCTAATCATTCAATACAATAATTTAATTAAATTCACCACCTCTGAACAGTTGAATTTGATTGTTTCACTCATTAAGATAGTTGAGATATTAACTGACACCACCAGCTTTACTATCAATGTAGACCATAAATTTACAACTGAATATCTTTTTAAACTTTAAGATAAATCAGTAGACTGAAAATCCTCTTATCAGTGAATAATAATAACATCTACTACTGAAGTTGAACTTCTTGCAATATTATACACAGGTCATAAAGTGTTTTAGTGGCAGTGTTTCTTTACTCAAATTCAATTTAACCCAGAGCATAGAATTTGTATTCTCTATAATAACTGTCAAATCATAACCTGCTCATCTGCTTGAACCAAGAGCTAAATACACATCTTGAACACGTTGATATTCATCATTATTGACTTAGAGAATGTGTCTAGCATGAACTTATTGATGTTGAATGGGTGAGAACTAAAGATATGCTGACAGACAGATTTCTAAAACTGCTGAAGTCATAAAAATATACCTCATTTATATGCCAACTGGTCTTGGTGAATGTTACTGATCTTATCAACCATTAGTGAGTCTGTTTGTTATATCTAAATTTAATTATTTTTTTTCCTTACTTGTTTGTTTTCTTGTTTTATTTTATATCTTCAACAGATGCTAAGCAATCTTTTCAGCTTCATATCTGATATGTTAACCGGACTTGGCTCCGTTACAGCAAGCGTTCACCTGAGTCGATTAAGGTCAGGTCGACTAAGTGCCTTATCGTGCTTGATCACTGTAGGAAGGTCGGCTGCCACTAGAATTGAACAATAGAAATATTGATCACTATTACCAATAATAGCTAAGGCGGGTGTCTAAGACTCTAATGATCTGTAAGAGATGTAGACGCGGTAGAAGGGTATCCCAAGGGAACCAAAACTATGGTTATAACTGAATAGGATAGTTGGAAGGTAGAGTGTTCTCAAAGTGTAATGAAATTGATTGTGATCAAGAAGATAAGCTTCCTTGATCCTAAGGGTAATGAGCATCTTTATATACATGGTGAAATCCTCTGGTAGATCTGGTAGATCTGGTATACTGATCATACCAATCTACTGGTAGGTTTGATAGATGAATCTATCAGTCATACCAATCTATCAGTCACGTGATCTGTACCCCGTCCTGCCGTTCCGTCGCTTAGTCTCTGTCAGCCCTCTCATTAGGTTTATTCCTACCCAATGATTCCTTGATTGTTCATGCGGGGTGTTCCCTTAGGTTTGTAACATGATAGCGCTTAGCTAGGGGATATATCATGATTATTATATCATTTATATGTTATGATCATCATATCACTCATATATACTTGTATACTCTGTATTGCAGATATGACTCAGATCTACTGCTACAGCTGTATCACTCTTTTGACCCACTTATAACTTATATATATCTATACACATATATATATATATATATATTTCATTCTTTTCTTGCTGGTTTTTCCTCTTCTTCAAAAAAAAGAGTTTTTGAAAGAATAGATTAAATAGTGATTATAAATACTATTATTTTATATCTACTACATTCTGACTTTTGTCATATCATCTCATCATCTGAAGAAGCTGTAAGCAGACAGATGTCTTAAAATTCTCTATGAAAGCGGAGTATATCTCATCTTCAGAGACTGTTTATGAGCTAGTTCATCTCTGAGAGCTTTTTGCTGATGCTGGAGTTCTACTCTTCTGATCTAATAAATTAGACACTTCTAATGAAACTGTCTTACTGTTAGCTAATCATCTCACATTCATTGTTCATACCAATTAGTCTGTAATAGAGCTCTTCTCTAGTAAAGCTATATTATATCACTTCAAGCATATGAAGATTTACTTTTACTCTCTTCAAGATTTTGTTTGCAAGAATGAGATTGTTCTACAATATGTGTTAATTGTAAAGTTGAGAGAATAAATGAATTTCTTTCTCTTTATCTTCATTTTAACTGGTTTTATTTTTCACTCTCTTGTTTTTTCAGTGGATTTTGTACTTCTACTAGGCAGTAGGCCTATTATTGTATATAGTATCAAGTTCTTCTACCCTGATTAGTGGGGGTGTCGGACACTTCCGTCGTGTGATCTGCTTTCCATCATAGATTGAGATAACTATAGAAGAGAGAAAGAGAAGAGTTTTAGCTATTATTTCCCACAATACGCTTACAGCATTAACAGATAAAAATATGAATTCCAACCAATTCCCTCTTGTCCAGGCTCTTCCCGCCGCTGCCCAACAGCACATCCTTGATTCGCCGAAGAACGCATCCACACTTTAGTTACGGCCTAAGACGCTCCCGATGTGCGAGCTAGCTTCACTAACCTGCCAACCTGGAAATCAGGATTGAAGTAGAAGAATCTAAAAGCACCTTTAAAAAGAGAACAAATCCAATCATAGAAATCAAATTCCCTTGAGTGTTCTTCCAGTTGACTCCCACTGAAACTAAACAATTGATATACTTTCAACGGCTGCAATTGACTTTCTAGCTACCACCAAACCTTATCAAGGAACTTTACGTCAACATCATTCTCCTCTGAGGGGTCAGTCCATAACATAACATCCAACCAACCAACCAAACCAATATATATAGAGCCCCTCCAATCCCCTGCAATGGCACCTCCAAACGCGCCACCATTCGACGATACCATTGCCGAAGTCGTGGCCAGCGAGACATCCCCAGATGGCACTGGTCAGTCTCTCCATCCATGCATCCATTCATCCGATAATAACGCCATTGGTCATCCACCCGCAAGCTCAAGCTACAGAATTGACTGAGAATATGCATGAAAACATACAGGAGTAATCAAGATAGATCCCTGGCTCGAGCCGTTTAAGGATGCGCTGCGGAGCAGATTCAATCATACGAAGGGATGGATTAATCGGATTAACGACACGGAGGGCGGGTTGGAGAAGTTTAGTCGGGTACGTTAACTAGTTATTACCTCACCTCACCTTTGGCCTTTCATGTCTAACTGGGACATATTTTAACTGGTTGGATGTTTTGGCAGGGTTACGAGAAATTCGGCTTCAATGTCCGAGATAATGGGGATATAGTGTACCGCGAATGGGCGCCGAATGCTGTTGATGCGCATTTAATTGGAGATTTCAGTGAGTTTTGGTCAACGCCTATATAAGACGTGGAGGGGTTACCGGATTTGCTAATTGGGGGCGGTGGACCACACGAGCAGATAACTGGGATCGCAAAGCGACACCTATGAAGAAAGATGAATACGGTGTCTGGGAAGTCACTGTCCCCGCCAAAGACGGCGAGCCGGCAATACCGCATGAGAGCAAGGTGAAGGTGCGTTTGGCCTTACTCTCTGTACCTGTCGCTATGCTTCCCTCCCAATTCTCATTTAATGCCTGCAGATAACGCTCAAAACCCCCTCCGGCGAAACTCTCGATCGCTTCCCCGCCTGGATAAAGCGCGTAACCCAAGACCCCTCCAATGAATTCCACGCCATTTTCTGGAATCCCC